GTTGCAGGATGAACACTGGCAGCTCCACACAATCTGTGCCACTCAGGGCCAACTGGAGCATGAAGGCTGACTTAGAGCAGCCATTCTCAACCTAGGGCTCCAGACCCCAGTTGGGGGCGCCAGATGATTCCTGGAGGTAACCAAATCATTTTGGAAAAATAGAATGAGCAAAATGAATGTAGCTTCTGAGCAGACATCAGAAGGATGGCGAGCCGTTGGTCTCACAGGCATTTTATTACTCTAAAGCAGTGACTGTCGGCCATAAGCAGGCTGCACCAAAACAACAGCAACCAACCTGTCCACTAAGGTCACAATATTTCAGAGAAAGCTGGAGCAGTGAGCTATAGAGAGGATGGGGAAATGTTGAAATGATCCCGGAGCTTCAGGACTTTATGGAGAGTTACGACAGAACCATTCAAACTAGGAAACCAATTATTGCCTCCCACCTCAGGTGCCTGCTTGAAGGTTTCAATAAGTACTTCCTGAATAATGACTGAAAAAATACCTTTTTATACTGACATACATGAAAAAATGCAGAGCATGACTCCTAAGCGCTGAGAGTGATCTCCACGTGGCTTTTTCTAACATGAAGCTAAGAATGCAGCTTCTCTGTTCAAACAAGCAGGCCCAGCCGTCACTTTAAATAGTTACAGAAAAACATCTCTGCTTTGGATCAGGAAGTTATTTTTCAGGTTTAAGTTCCAAGAAACAAAGATGTTTAAGATGAAACATGGACTGTTTTCCAGTGTGTTTTATTAAAGTTTAGCACACGCTGTTATTGTTAAAAAAGTCCCAATGTGTTTCAAAATAAGACGAACAAGAGACTAAAAGCTGAAGTGAGGCTTGTCTGGTTATATAAATGCAATGTATAAGGATTTTAATTAGACATTGCAGGTTTCATGGACAATGTTAAATAGGGGGACATGTCTCAAAAAGGTTGAGAACCAGTGACTTAGAGGAGGGCTCCTGATCAAAGTAATGTTACTGTACTGTAATGTACGGGATGTAATGCACTGTAATGTTATTAGAATAAACAAATATGCTACATCTGACCTCAATGTCTGTGGTGTGCAGAGGGGAGACTGGAGAAACCCACTGTCATCAAAGCTCAGGTCCAGTTCTGTCAGATGGGATGGATTAGACTTCAGAGCTGAGCCCAGCAAAGCCCAGCTGATCTCTGACAATCTGCTGCAATTAAATCTGAATAAAGAATAAAAGATTTTAGCTGAATTCAACAAGATGCAGATTAAAA